AAAACACGTCAACGGAAATATCGTGCAAAAAAAGACTTATTTCTAATGTTTTGCCAGAAAAGCCTTGAATATTTTGATGTACTACATGGAAACGATTAGACTTTTCTGTTGTCGTGTTTTTCAGTTTAAATTATGCTTATTAAAAAGTATACTGTTGCTACTTAAAGTAGGAGCATTGTCGTGGGACTGTGTTATATCTTCTATAACAGCGTCCTTAATATTAAAAGATAGCAAACTAGCTATATGTCTTAGATACCTTAGGGGTAAAAGTAAATTATCCTCAAAAAGATTGAAGTTCCTTATGAACTTATTAATATCAAAACAAAATATAACGTCACTATGACGGCAAGTCAAATTATGAATGTGCGAATTTATGTTGTATATATACTTATTACGAGCGATGCCTAGGTTAGAGCAGTAAGGGAATGCACTTAGTATGAATTTACACCCACACTTCTCTTGAATTCTCAAGAACACGTCAATGCTACTATTTACTTCTTTTTTACTAATGTTAGTACTATTACCTATTATAAGAATCACAATCACCAGCAGTGCGTTGATCATCGATTTTTTTTATTTTTATAAAAAATAGCACATACCTATAGTACTGAATATTTCTCCAATACTACAGGAATAAACTAGAAAGCCCCACATCTTTCTACATTAGTTTTGATTACAGTGACCCTCCCTACCGACCCTTAGGGTATACGAGAGTGACCCCAGATCAGTCAGTGTACCTACAGGGTTGACACACACCTCTGTCACTTGACTTCATCCGGTTCTTCGAGAGGCCTCGGGTGAGCCGCCCCGGGTGCACCTACAGTGCCCTCCCTATTTTCCAGGTAGGTACCGGAGTTGTGGGCACGCTCACTTCCCGTTGCGCATTGCGCAACTAGCGGGTGCTACCGCTAAATCGACTAGATTTGGTAGTTGACTCTGAGTCCACTACCAAATCTCCTCATCGGTGACGAAGCTGTAAGACACGCTCACTTCCCGACGTCGATTGGACGGCGTCTCTCCAGTCCCGAAATTCCTACGCGGCCGGAAGGACCGGAGGATGTCTAGTTCATCCTTTACTTGCTCTCCGGGGTAGTGCCGGAGATGCCAAGTAGCAGTGTCCTACGACAATGTCCGGACATAGTTTCCAACTTAAAGGCCAACTCACATGCCCCGCGCGTCTGCTCGCTTGAGGCCATCAACTAGACCGCTACTAAGACGCGCTAGCTGTGCACGAGACAGACGCCCCGACCACACATCACCGGGGCAGACAAACAAGTCCATCTCTGCAGCCAACCACAAACTCCAGCGAGTCCATATCCAAGTCCGGGTCCACCAGAGACGCCCGTGAAGGCGTATCACTGGCGGAGGGCTTGGCCCGCACGCCCGCTGTTTCCTGGTCTTGCTGTCAAGCCCGCAGGCTCTCCGGAAAACCCTATCTCTTGAGTCGGTAGATAGGGACAACAAGAATACTACAAGAATAAACAGTAAATAATTCCGCTCGAGCGAAAATTCAAGTTATATTTTTATCGGGAATGAAACTATTTCTCCGTATTTAAATCGCGTATATTTGTTTTTTCAAACAAACCGACTTTTCGGGCCCGCGGTGTCGGTTGTATTTTCATTGTTCGTTTTACATCTACGCATCTTGGGTACATCTTAGTCAGGCCAATAAAAGCATGATTTGGTTAGTTAAATTTTTGATGTTATTTCTATCATATCAAATATTATCCTGTTTACGGTATCAAGCAAATAACATACTCTTACAGTCGTGTACAGTCAAGTATAGGTTTACACCCCATATTAATTCATTCACTATTTCATTTGAGCCGAAAGACGTTCAGCCTGTTTGTATAAATAATGAGGATCATGTTCAAACTGGAAAAATCAACTTCTACGTAAATGTTAATATTATGTACGTACGTACCTACTTCTTTCTTCCGTTTTTTCGGAGGAGTAAAGGGAGTGAGCTAATAAATTTAGACCTTGTTAATTGAGATACTAAGTATAATGTAACTCACCCGGGTATGTAGTGAGGCTGCGCTATACTGACTAAATCTAAAGCCATGTTGAAGTGAGCCTGTACTTTTCTGTTTCAAAATTATACGTTCATAATAATTTTGCGGCCTAAAATTAAAAATGAAAATATTTTACTAGAATTTAGATGTTAAGAATCCATAACACGTTTGTTGTTATTTGAGTTTTGCTTGAATTTTGACGTGTTTTTGACATACTTGGTATGTGTAATTTACTTTTTTTAACGTGCTGCATGTAGTTCAATATGAAGATTAAAACCTAAAAAGATTGCAAATATAATACCTACAAAATTGTTTGTGTGTTCAAATTTAAATAATCATTTATTGCATAGGTAAAATTTAACACTTAAAAGCGTAATTCTTAAGCTATAATAAATAATAAATAATAAATAACGCACACATTCGACATAGCCCCGCACTAGGGAAACCCTGTGTCGCGGGTGCCATGGACACACACACATAGACAACCACAAATTACACCCAAACTCACGAGAGAAATAAATGTAAGCCATACAAACATTTCTCCAGGCCCGGGAATCGAACCTGGGACCTCTGCGTGGCAGTCCGGCATGGTAACCGTTCGGCCACGGAGGCAGTTAAATATGTATGCTATGCTCGTTCATTGCGCTGGTTTCTTGAAATTGCTCTTTTCAAATAAAATTAAATGCTATGGAATACACTTTGAATCATAATTGTGTGAAATCTAGACAAATGTTGTCTTTCGATACATCTTTACTTAACACGTACTCTTAAATTTTCTAATATGACTATTCTATTAAAATACTTTTAATTTAGTTTTAAACTTAGGAAATGATAATCTTAATATATGCTCCGGAATCTGATTGTATGAACGAGTATACAGTTCCCCATAAAAGAATCGTTCACCGAAACGTTAAACGAAATCGTGGTACTTACTAAACGCGATTTCGGACTTTTGTGACTTAGTTCTAAGGTTAATTTAAGGATATCTCATTTCTTAATGAAGTTATATAGGTATATTTTTACGGGCATACAAAATATTTGAGCAAACGTACTGTGATGCCATTATCATGACTGCAATCTCCTTGAATTTACGTATTCTATAGACTGCGTATGCAGCAATGCTTAATCTGCTAGCCAAAGAAGATATTTTTGGATACCATTGAAGTTTACTATCTAAAGTCACTCAAAACGACAGCTTCGTTAACAAGGTAGGTATAACTTTTTTCCATTCATTTCTATGATTGGACGATTTTATTAGGTAATTCAAATTTAATACACTTTGTCTTCTGGATAATAAATTGTTACCATTAAACCAATAAACTACGTTTGAGAAGGTATCGTTAATATTATCGTAGTTAACGTCATGTCTGTCTGTTTTAAAAATCAAGGATGTGTCTTCAGCAAACAATACTATTCCGTAAAGGTCCTTAACAAAGAATGGTAGATCATTAAAATAAAAATAAAAAGAAATGTCCAAGTATTGAGCCCTGCGGAACACCCACTTTTACCGGAGGACCCAAAAAAGTCACTCCATTTATGTCTACTTTCGAGACAAGTTCCAACGCCTTGCCATTTACTCCTTAATAAAACGTTATTTAGTATTAAAGACCTGTTCCTTATCTACTTCAATAAATGCAATACATCATACGGCATAGATTTTTATTAATCAATTGGTAAGTAATTAATTAGCCGAAATATTAGTGACAACAAAACCACAAACGATCAATCTGGTCGGTCTAGGTACCGGAAGTGTCATAGAAAAAAAAACCAAAAAAACGTCATATCAGACGTAGACTGGAAACCTTTAACCGGAATAGTTTAGACTTTAATGAATTAGTTCTTAATTGTTACACATTTTCAAAGAATTATCATTAATAGATAATAATATTTATCACCTGAATACCTTTTGCTAAAAGTCATAGTGCAACTAATTCAAGTCTCTACCACAGCAATGTCGTGAACTATGTGATATGAAATGCCGCAAAATATCAATAATTTACATTCAACAGTGGTCAACAACGAACGTACGAACGTACCTACTCAAGAAACTTTCGTTCACTCGATTCAAAATTCAAACATCGTTCCTTTCATTCGCGTTCTCCGCTCGCCATATTGGTTTGATCCGCCGTGAGTTGCGGTCGTGCGTACGCGACGCTGTGTGAACTGACAGCCATCGACACAAATACAACTTTCATACTTGTCCGTGCATTTGAAGTGCCTTTGTTTTCAAAATTAATAAACAGTGCTGTGTTTTAATTCTAACATTTAAAATTTTAACGAGATTCTACACAATCGAGCCAACGGTTAGTTGAAACGCATGCATTCCACCGAGACTATTGAACTTAATTTTTTTTTTCATTCAATACTCCTTTTTTATTCTTATCAAGTAATTTTATTTAACCAATAGTGTAATGTGGACTGTGGACCTGCCGTTTGTAAAATAGGAAAGTGTTATGTGTAAAATTTATCTTTGCGTTGTCAAAGTTATCCGTTGATTGTCGTGGATTGCCGAAACATTCAAGGTACGTACAGTGACAATTTTATTTTAATAGTTATCTTAAGGTTTTGAAACACAGGAAGGATTTACCACTTAATTCACCATCTTACGGCCGTAATTAAAGTAATCATAGATAACACCGTGAAGGAGTAATCATCGGGTGATTTTCTATCAAGGCATATTCCAATAATATTAAGCTCACAAATATTTTCTGATGCTCTTATCATTGCACGCCGACGCAGTATGCACTGTTAATGTTGTTATAGAATTGAGGATTATGCTAACGGCATAGTCGTGACTTTAAAATGTATAAAGTAAATAATAATTAAAAAAGATTTTGAAAGTGTAATCTAAGAATTCATGCAGAGAACTCGCAAAAGTTATCAAAACAACCTTAAAAAGCCATAAAGTTCAAAAGATGACATAAATTTACACTATCATGAAAAGTTATCGCTGGTACAGAAAACATTCCAAACAATAATAAAGCGCGTGCGATTCACGGAATATCCTGTTTCCTAAAAGATTATAACAGAAAAGAGGTGGGGTTCCTCCTTTTTTCTTCTTAAAGTGTAATAAATAAATGCCTAGATAAAATTGATTAAAATTAGGATTAATAAAGTTCGGACGTTGTTTCTTTGTTTACGTTACGTTTATGTAAAGTTTTTGAATCTTCGTTTTTCTTTGTTGCCAATTGGAATAATTGATGTATTTGCGGTTTTCGAGTTTAAAATTCGAACTCCGCCGTTAGACGATTTATGTCCTACGCGGAGAGGACAGGGACTCTGGACCGGTTCGAACAGCAGCTTGCGACGAAAAAAGAACAGCCTCTTAGCCGTTGATATTCGAGGCCGTAACCCAATTGGGACCAGTCGCACGCAGGTACACTTTGTAGTACACTTTCTCCGGTGCGTGACGCTGCCTCTGCCATTTCACTGTACCACAACGGCATGCGGCAGGTGCGGGTTTCCAAACTTGACGATAAGCACGCGAAATCTTTTATGATATGCCGTTTTGAAACGACGCTTTAATGATCCTGCCATTTCGGCAACACTTTCTTCGTAATCGACGAACTCGTTGTTTGTGTAGAGATGCGTAATAATTTCGATTCGATCCAATACTGCAATCATCCGTAATTTATTGTCTATACATTAGAAATTTGAAGCAGCAGAGGACTTATTCAAAAGTAGGTTTGAAGAACGAGGTTCCAGCGCGACGATACAATTCAAATATCGTTTCGAAGTCGCGAAACTTTGAGAAATCATTGACCTCTAAAATTGTTTACACATTCAAATGCGCAGCAACCAAAGTTATGTTGCTGCAAGTTAATTCATGGAGCTGTATAGAAAAAGTCTATTACCATGCCGCGAAATTACTAACGCTCGAATTGCTTAGGCACTTTTAGATAATCACCTGCGATCGTTGGAAGCGTTAACATTGAAAATCCAATAAAAAAATAGTTCGACGGTGGAGCAATCGGATATGAGATATATTAAAATACGTTTTAGATTTTCGCTTGTCATCAAGGAATCATTTAATTACAACGTTAAAATTGGTGTTATTTCACGGTGATTACTATCTGACTGACATCATTGTTCTAAACTGGATGAAAACGTGGTCGATTTGTGAGGTATTCGGCAAAAAATAACAGTGGTTACGTGAACCGTCAATCATTGGTCGATACGATGTTAAAATTCCATAGGTGGTGTTGTTTTCATGACTCAGTCGGCGCCAATTAATATGTAGATTATCTTTGGACATGCTTGAGCGCGAGCATTTCAGCTGTATAGGCACGTTTTGGTTTCTAAAGAAAAGTTCATTAACATCTCATTCTTAAGTGAAGGTGTTGCCGACGAATGCTTTAATTCGAAGACATTCCAACGCCACATACCTACTTTGGAATCTTTTGTTCATTACACATAATGAAATTACAGTAATGAACACATGTCACACGTTCTCAAGTTCCATTAAATTCCGTTATCTTCGTAATTTGCAGTGACAAATATGCTAGATATGGGAAAGTGTGTTTCACATTCCGAAAAACTTAGCGTAACTCTTTCCGAAATTAGGACCAGTAAAACAGTTCGTCTAGGGAAGTATTGCCACCTTACCTATTTCTACCGCCAAGCAGTAATGTGCGCATCAACGCGATCCGGTTTTGGAGGGTAAGGGTGGTGAAATTACAGGCACATGGGACTTGTCACTTATGTCCTCAGGGTGACAGGCGCAGCGGCAGTGCCTGTCAGTTCTTTGCGATTTAAACATCTGAGTGGCACTACATCTGTTATGGACAATCGTGTCGCTTACCTTAACTTGTTCGTCCCATCACTTGACATGATAAAAAAATGGTAACCTGAGTGATAAGCACGGCAACGTTATTGATTTTAGTATTGACGTAGTTTATCTTAAGTCTGAAGACCATCATCACTAGACTCTTTTGAGTGAATGGAATACAAAAACAAACCGGAAACATCCCTTTATCTCCATAGCTACATAGGAAAGATACTAATGAACGTTATCTTTTTACGTGTGATATTTCTCGACTGAAGGGAAAATGTAGCTATGTTGAGAGTCCATTAAAACCTAAACAATAGTTCAACAGCGCCCTTTCATTTAATACATCCGGTTTTTTGCATTCCGTACACAATGCAATGTGGGACAATCACACGGTTTTGAATTTCTTGCTTATAGTATTACATTCTTTCTTTCTGTTGTCAACTAGTAAATTTCTCAGTTTATTCGTGGCAAGAAAAGTAATTATAATTTTGGACGAAATGGAATGTGGTTGTTTGAATATAAGTTCAGTTCCTAATTCAGGTTTAAAAATGGAACATTGTTTTTTTTTTAATTGAAATTGTTATTACTCGTTACTTATTAAACGGTATAATTTCAAAAAGTTGCCAGTATTTACTACTTTCTAAGTGGGTTTTAACATTTAGTCATTCGGCGGGCCACCCGAATACATAAATAAAGTGAGCGCAAAATAAACTCAAAATTCAGCAAAGAAAAAAGATAAAAACGCCTTTGTGTTAAGTTCGTGCATTTATACAGATGCTGTTCTATTTACTAAGGCTGTTATTGGGACCTTCGCTGTTTGTAATATGCGTACTAGTCTCAAGTTGATTTATTTGAATTGATGTCCTATTGAATTTCGTGAATGTTCATTGTATACAAGGTTGCCTTTATCGTTATGGCTGTTATTATAAATATTGACTTTTTTTAAGTTTGTATGTTTTGTTTACAATGTGAATAGGCAGATAATTAGCATTCATATATATAAACTTTTATTCAGAAATAAATACTTAGTTATACCATTGACAAAGCTGTTACGAGAAAGGCATCCCGTTTATAACAAGGCGTTGAATGTTGATGATAATCTTCTTAATATGCTCATATTACGACTTCGGGGGCTAAACGGTTTGTGGGCGCTGGATGAGAAGGTTCCAGATTGGATTGCCGGTAGGACTAATTTGGGAAATGGTTCTGGTGTTCTCTGTGCTCCGGATAGTGTCCTGGAGTAAAATTCGTTGCTCTGGTACTCATAGTATAGGAATTTCCAAGTTTGAGAGGTAATTGGTGTGGCTGTCTGGCAAAAACAGTTACCATGCTGACCGGGAGAAATATCTCAATTTTTTTTTATAGGTGTAATAGCAAATGACGGGTCTAATAGGTCGTGGGCCTGGCGGTAACCGACACGCCTGTTTATAACAGTTGCAGTGCCATTCAGAGCTTTAAACCGCAAAGATCGGAGGGGCACTGCCACTGTGCTCATCACCCTGACACATGAGTTGACAAATCCCATGTGACTGTGATTTCACCAGCACCCCTTCCTTTCAAAACCGGAACGCAATAATGCTCACATTACTGCTTCCCGGCAGAAATAGGCAAGGTAGCAGTACATCCCTGGACGAACTCTTTCCCAAGGAGCGCTAATGCTATTATTGTATTATAGGCCTTACATTAATTTCTCTCGCAAGTTTGGATGTTTGCGGATTTTGTGGCTGCCTATGTGTACCCGCGATAGGTACGTCATGATATATACCTACATTCAGAAGAGAAGAAAGAAAAATGATTTTCTTCGTTAAACGCTTCAAGTTATAGGTAAAAAAATTCGTGGATCACGCCCTTAGGCGTCGTGTCTAGGAGGCTGCCAGTATCCCCTACGGATAGCTAAACTTTTTGACTATGTAGCTGCCAGCCTTCTAATCACCAGAGGCTGTAACGATGTACCCATCAATATTTGCATTAAATTGATTACTGTAGCAGAAGTACATCGAAATAATGTATTTCAATATTTTTATCAAAAATTACGGAACACTGAAATTAGGACAAGAATATGAAACCTACACTCTTTACGATTAATAAAAACTTAATTAAATTATTTTTAATAAAATTACACTTTAGTACTCTGATGTAATCAAGATACTGCACAACGCAATTTGAGATTATGCAATGATTACAATGACTTGATGTGCAAGGTCGAACATTGGAATTTTTATATCACAAACATCTACCTACACACAGTAACAAAGCCTGTGTTCCTTCGACAACCTGTCGAATTATTGACACGATGAATTCGTTCTACATAAGGTTTCGACATAGGTATGCATTAAATTGCTAGCGTAAATTCACCTTTAATACCTTCATATGAAAGTAAAACGAGGCTTGCTATTCATGAGGCGATATTGGGCACGTGCTTCAATCTCATCCATGGCCTGATCGATCACGATTTGGTCGTTTCGAAATTTTCTTTGTCAATTTTTCCTTATCTTTTTGAAAGGATAATATAGCGGTGTTCTGTTAATGGCATGTTGTGCAAATCGCAAATCTCACAGTGAATATTTTAATAACATGGTATTTTTTATGATACCAAGTGACAGAACGAACAAGTCACGCGCCTGATGGTAGGCGACGCACCTGTTCATAGCAGTTCCATGGCTACTCAGAGCTTTAAATCATAAAGATCTGAGAGACACTGCCGCTGCGCCCGTGACCCAGAAACCATAAGTTGACAAGTCCCATATGCCT